GGTACCTCCCATACAAAAGTGTCAATTTTTTGAGGTTTTTCTTGGGGCAAGTACCCCAGGATCAAATCGAAAATGGCTCATCTTCGAACTTAAACTAAGTTTTTCAAATACAAAACTTTTGGCATTTCCAGATTTTGATTATCTCAATTATTTTTTGGGTTATCGTGTTTACAAACAGCTACGACGACGACAACGACGACAACGACGACAACGACGACGACGGCACACGAACGGAAAAGTGTCTCAAAAAGTGATTTTCTACGCGTTTCATGAGTTTTTATGATGATCTAAACCAATTTTGCGAAAAAAGTTTTCGGGACCAATTCCTATACTTTCCCTTGACACGTTGTGTACGGAAAAGTAAAATGGGTTTTCATATTAATACACTAGGTATATTTTTATAAATAATTGAAATATTTTTTAACCAGAATGCTTGAAATATGTACTCATGTACTTATGCATACTTTTAGCGCGTTCCGCAACGAATGACAACCGACTACGCGGTCCCCGTTGTAGTTTGACATTTTGGTTTCATGGCTCTGGTGGTGACCGATTTGTGGTTGGCGTAGATCATGCCGTCGTCGGGGCGATGCCACGTTGCCATACCACTTAACACGGTGAAGTGTCGATGTGGCTCGTTGATGCGCAGACTAAACAACGATGTCAACGAAACTTGAAGGTATGCCATCGTGTCTGTGTGTTTGAAATGCGGGTAAGGAAAAAAACACGAATAATAAATTCATATGTTCAGATTGCTTGAATAACATATCGGATTAAAAAGGCGAATCGAATGGCTGAATTTTTATGTCTTTCGTACTACTTGGGTTCGATACGGTTCGTTTCGTTTTCTTTACATTCGATGTGGTTGTTTGGTCTGTTGCAAACAGAAATCGTGTCGTCATTGCGAACTTGGTTTGTCAAAAGAAGGAGAAGAGAAATGAAACTACTCTGTCTGTATGGAATGTCTCGCGATATGAATGCTTGTACATTTGCTGGATTCGCTTTGGTTTGCATAAATTAGTGCGCATCAAGCAGCACGCTCACAAAAAACTCAAAGTTAAAACTTTGACCACTAGAGGTCAAGATAAGCGGTCCAATCCTCGAAAAGGACAAAAATTAGATATTTTGTCTTTATGGTGGTTAAAACGCCACTCAGTGGCAGAAACGTCAAAACAAACTATAGCTGTCAAAGTCATTTACGCATTCGAATGCCGCAACAGTTTTATTCCACCAGCTTCCACCAGTGAAAGCAAGGATCTTTAATATTAAACCGATTCGTGATACAGAAAATTGGCACGAAAATGTCGTTTGTTCGTGTTCATTGTGAAGATAAACGGCATTTCATAAAAATTGAAGATGTTGAAAATGTGAATTTTGGCAGTTTAGTCCACGTTTATAGGTGGAATTGAATGCTTTAAGATGATTTAAGGTCGAAGCAAATGTAAAATCTCCTCAGGACTTGTGCGATTTTCGTGAATACTTTGATGACACAATCTCAAACTCTTTCATTTGTTTTAATAAATTCTCTCCAATTTGGAATATTTGATTTGTTACTTTTTGATTACCACCAAGTTCGACCACTGATTTCATAAATTCATTCACCAACGTCGGTGAATCAATTATTTTTGTGCGGTGCTTCTCATCTGAAATAATATCACTCGATTCAAAAACATACGGTCCCCTTTCTACATTTTCAGCGCTTGAGCTCTCAGAACTGCTTGCGTTAAATACGAATTCCTCGTCGCTTTGCAATGATAACTTTTCCGAGATTGAATCATCATAATTAGAAGCCAAAAATATGTTATCTGTGATTTTGCTATTACAAACATTTTCAATATCATCTGATTGAAAACTTTGTGAATGTAAATTTAACTTTTCAAGTTCTTTAGCAATGGCTTTTTGCGATATTTCTGGATCGACGTCCTCTGTTGTAGTTTGGACGCATTTTTCAATGTGTTTTTTCAACCCGTTGAACGTAGTAAATTGTTTTTCACACTTTGAGCTCTCGACTGGACACTTTATTGAATGCACTCTTTCTTTAATTGAATGTTGTTTTTTCAAATGTTTAATAATCTCGTTTTTATTCTCGAAACAAATAGGACACATATAACATTTTAGCTTCATTTTGACTACAGTTGTGTTGATATAAACACAGATAATTGACAGTAAACCTATTTTAACCACGGCAAAGCCAAAACAGATATTTTTTGTCCGTTCCAAGGATTGGACCGCTTATCTTGACCTCTCGTGGCCAAAATTTTAACTTTGAGTCAACGCAGCGCCTTCTCTGCACTTACGCCAACTGCTGTTAGCAAGAGTCACTACAGTACAACGTACGTCAAATTCAAAAGCTTGTATATATATATGTATACATGTGTCAGTTGCTTATTGAGCGATTTTCTGTTCTCCAGCTCTATTTTATTTTTTTTCACTAAATAGCGTAAATTTTGTTGCATGAAAATCAATCTTCTTATTTTTAAACGTAAAATCAAATTTTACGATAAAACAATACAGGAATTTCACTGTTTTGAATAAATACGAACAAGTGTCACTTCATTTGTTTACGTTCTGTTCACGAGAATCATGTTATGTTTTTTTTAATCAAAAAGCGTATTTTACTGTTCATTCCAATGCAAAAAATCAATTTTCTCATTTTAAAATTTCAAATAAAAATGTTTCCGCATTTTTGCGTATTTTTGTCAACACAAGAGTGACTAAAAAAAGTTCCATCGAGTTGTAATTTCATTTGTTGACATTTCATATTCCGGTTATTGGATATACTCGGATATACTGTTATCAACTGTTTTGAATCGTTTTGAACGGTTTTGAATGGTTGTTTTTTCACACGAACATAAAAACGTGCTTGACTTCACTGAAGTCATTAATATCCCTTGATATCTTTTCAAAATTAAAAGAAAAAAATATTTCATGGCTCAAAATCGAACAGCATTTCACTATTTACATCAATGTGTCATCATTTGTCATTTATCATCGGCTTTGTTACTCTTGTATTGACAAAAACACGAGAAAAAAATTGACTTTCCCGGACTTTACGTTTTAAAATCAGAACGTTGATTTTTCAACTTAAACATGTATACATACGTATACAAGCTTTTGAATTTGACGTAAGTTGTACTGTAGTTACTCTTGCCAACAGCAGTTGTCACTTCTGGGCTCGTTTGTATGGGAATTGACAACAAGGCGCTGCGTCGCTTTGAGTTTTTTGTGAGCGAGTAAAAAAAATCATTACGCGCCGAATTTTATTCGCAAATTGGTGCAATGGGTGAACTGGTGCACTATGTGGCAAGCCATTGTTAATTCGAACGTAGGAATATAGCACTTGTTATGGTGAATATTGTGCACGAACACGATTTGGTTTGCTCAGTCCAGTTCGTGGAAATCCAATCGTAATATGGCGGACACGACCAAACAACGACAATTTCAATAGAAATACTCACGGGTTTGTCTTCTTCTCGCAGTTTCCTTCCTCCTTTTTTTCAATGCTCAATTTCGCACTAACTTGACGGTCTGAGTTTTGTTGTTTCTCCTTTAGTTTCGATCGGCTTGATATTTATTATTACTTTTGGTTTTGTTTTTGTTTTTTTTTTCTTTTACGACGTTGGGCTGATGTGTTTCTACGTACGTTCGCTTCAGCGGTTCAGACGAAAAGAGAGAGCATCTCTGTGTGAGCCGGTCGCTTCGGTGAAGTGTAAGGCATTGTGTTTGTGTGAGTGTATTCGCTCGCTCGTGGTCGCGAATTCGACGCTTTTCGCGGCATCTAGTTGTCGTTTGTTGCGATTTGATCGTTCGCTTTGCTAAATCGTTTATGCAAAGTCAATTTATAGGGCGATTGTGTAGTGTAAATGATATCGGTCTGTTATTCATTTGTTTTGGGGGAAAAAAACAGCGGCAAATAGTGGCATGAACTGCGTATATATACAATTTGGTATATATGAATATATTTTGGTCTTGACTCGACAATGAACGTTTGCTGTGGCAATTTATTTGTCGTATAGCGACAGCGATGAACTGGTATGCGATGAACTTTTGTTTTCCTGTTTCATCGGTTTCTTCTCGTTAGTGTTAGGACTATGGTTTGTTGGTTTCGTTATTTTTTTTTTCTTTTCTTTTTTTTTGAATTTGACTGTGGTAAACGACTATAGTAGGCTTGTTTGAATGAAGGCTTGTCGTATTCGTTCATCGCCTTAACGGACCATAATGTCCTTGGCATTGTGTTTACCTAGTGGCCTGCTTTGGGAATCAATCAGCTCATATGTGTCGTTACCAATGATCTTTGTGATGGTGGCTTGCTTTTTCACCGGATTAAGCTTACCGGCAATTTTTTTAACGGAGGATGATAACTCGCGATGCAACACATACACTGAATCGCCGATTTTGAATTTTCTGACTCGTGCCCGGGTATCGTACCGTCGCCGATTTTCCTCGAAGCTTGTGCGGGATTGATCACTCACGGCCTCATGAATCAATGCCATTCGCTCGAAGTCGGCCTGTGCCGTTTCCGGGTTGGCATCCAAAATTACGGTATGTTCATCGCCGGTTTGCGCTCTTTCTCGACCGTTGAGAGTGAAAAATGGACTGTGGTGTGTGGAGGTGAGCGGAGTTGAATTCATTTTCATCGTGATGAATGGCAAATGATCTGCCCAATCAACATGCTCTTCATTTCTCTCCATAAGTTGCGTGCGAATGCAAGTTTTGAGTACTTTGTTTGAAGCTTCGGCCGCGTTGGTCTGTGGGTGATACACACCAGTCGTACAATGTTTGATCTTGTACTTCTCCAGAAACTGACGGAAAGCCACGCTAGTGAACTGACTGCCATGGTCTGATACAATTATTTCCGGCGTGTCGAATTTGAATAACACCTCTTTTTCAAGGAATTCGATCGTGTTTTCGGTGGTGGCTCTGATAAAGGATTTCGTAAAAACGTATCGCGAGAACCCATCAATGCATACGAGGGCATACATGTGACGTTTTTCCTTGAAGCTGGCAATGGGCCAATGAAATCTATATACAATATTCGGCCTGGACGAATCGGATCGCGGTACTCTCCGGTTGGAATGCGGGTGTTTTCGTTGGATGGTTTTGCTTGACGACAAATTTCACATTTTGTCACGTATTCATAAATATCGGCATGCATTCCTTTCCAATAATAGACGCGTTGAATGGAATTTAGTGTTTTCCAATATCCCATGTGGCATGATTGATTGTGTTTTTCATTGAGAACGGCCTGTTTCAGTTCTGTGGGAACGCAAAGTGTCCATAGCCGGTCTCCGGTGTGGGCTTGATATTTGCCACGTCGATAAACGAATCCGTTTTCGATTTTATAGAATAGAGATTTGCCAGATTCGGCGATAGTTCGAATTTTATTGTACCATGAATCAGTTGTCTTGGTATTTGGTTCAATTTCAATCAAATCTACGGCACGCGATAGCGCATCTGGGGCATCCATCAGTTTGCCGGGACGATGTTCAAAGGTGATGTCAAAGGCCTGTAGTCGAACTGCCCATCGAGCCAATTTTCCATGTGGTTCTTTTAGGTTTTGCAGCCACTTGAGGCTGGCATGATCGGTTACTACAGTAAATGCTACTCCATCGATGTACGGTCTGAATTTCTCTACTGCACTGAGTACAGCAAGGCACTCACGCTCTGTCGCACTATAATTCTGCTGTGTTTTGGAAAATTTTACTGAATGGTATGCAATTACTCTCTCGTGACCATTCTGAATTTGGGTGAGAATGCCGGCTCCAGCGATGAGACTCGCGTCGGTGTACAATTTGAATGGTAATGAGTAATCGGCAGGCACTAGGACTGGCGCATGAGTGAGATCGTATTTGATAAGCTCGAATGCTTCTTCAGCCAAGGCCGTCCAAACAATTTTTCGTTTGCTATCTTTCTCAATCAGATCTGTTAGTGGAGCAATTTTCTCCGCTGCTTTGTTGAGGAAACGCCGGTACCATCCTATCAAACCGACTAAGCGTCTCACTTCTCGGACTGTTTCCGGTCGTTTGTAGTTAAGAATGGGCTGAATACGTTCTGGATTTGCTGTTAATCCATCTTCGGTGAGAATGTATCCCAAAAACGACAGTCGTTTATAGCAAAAACAAGATTTTTCTTTACTAATGGTCAGGTTATTGACTTTTAATCGTTCGGCCACTTCGGACAGAACTGATAAATGTTCCTCAAACGTCGAGCTAAGTATAACGAAATAGTCCACGTAATGGTAAACATTGGGAGCCATATCGCTGAAAATTGCAGCTAACATTTTGGTAAGATCCGCTGGGCTGTTCCTAAAACCCATCACAGCCCTTTTGTAACAGTAAAACTTATTGTCGATAGCAAAAGCGGTCTTGTTTCGGTCTGTCGGTGCGATTTCCATCTGGTGGAAGGCTTGCGTCATATCAAGGCCGGTGATATACTTGGCTTTTGGCAAATTTCGGAGTATTTGATCGACGTTGAACGATGGATAGGCGTCAGGTATCGTTAACTTATTTAGACCACGTGCATCCAAACAAATTCTTCCGCCGCCGGTCTTCTTTTTAACCCACAATATGGGCCAACGCCAAGGGCTCTTATCAAGTGGTTCAATGATATCTTTGGCCAACAAGTTAGAGATTTCCGCACGTACCTCTTCCAACACATAAGGTGAAAGCGGGTATTGATCTCGTTTGACTGGTATGGCACCTGGAATTAAAGCGATCTGCTGTACATATGAGTTGGTTTTGTTGAGCGGACCGGTTTGAGGCGTGTATGGAAATTTATCTACCACCGCCTTTAATTGAACCCGTGAGCATAAAAACAACGTATTGACTCTTCGCCGATGAATACGAAACGCAAAAAAATCGCCGAACAAAGTGAAACACCAATCTGTTATTGGATCAATATGAAACATGAAATCGTTGGCCACTATTTTATTTACGTTGCGTTTTTTTCGAAGCGCGGCAAGTGTTTCATTTTGTTCCAGTAACAGAACGTTGTATCACTTTGTTCGGCGACGCGCTCAATGTACTGTTTTGGAAAAATATGCATGATTTGATACAGTTTTGAGTCCATTGGTATGATGATTCATTTTAACACAACACCCATTCTATTTCGCTCACACTTACGTGCACTTTAACGTTGCTGAAACATGTACGTTCTTGTTTCTTTACTGCGCACATCTTTTTAACAGTAAAGCAGACTACTTTGTTATACGGGTAAAAATTGCACGTAAGTGTGAGCGAAATAGAATGGGTGTTGTGCGTCCGTGTTTTGGCCATGTATAGATTTCACTATATAAACCAATGTATTCACAGCGGCGTGAACCCGCGTTCCGAGGATTTCATACAAACTTCCCATGTAGACGATCCGAAATAGGCAACAGTCGAAAAAAAAGTTTAATTTTTTTTTCGATTTTCATATAGTATTTTTTTCTGCTCTATTGGTGTTATCGGCACATCGAAATTCGCGCTACTTATCAGTTAATTTTCACTTCATAGACAAATCACGACCAAAACCACCATTAAAATGAATCATCATACCAATGGACTCAAAAGTGTATCAAACATTTTTGTTTCAATTAAAGTGAAACACAATTTCTATAGTCAGCCGATATTTCACGATTCACTTTCAAGCGAACAGAATTTATGTTGCACTCGCACAAAACTGTATCAAATCATGCATATTTTTTCAAAACAGTACATTGAGCGCGTCGCCGAACAAAGTGATACAACGTTCTGTTACTGGAACAAAATGAAACACTTGCCGCGCTTCGAAACAAAGCGCAACGTAAATAAAATAGTGGCCAACGATTTCATGTTTCATATTGATCCAATAACAGATTGGTGTTTCACTTTGTTCGGCGATTTTTTTGCGTTTCGTATTCATCGGCGAAGAGTCAATACGTTCTTTTTATGCTCACGGGTTCAATTGTGCTTTTTGCTCTGGACTGAGATCATGTGGTTGTGTAACGGTCTCCCGTCTTGGCGTTATCACATCGTTTTCAGTGTCATCATTTCCACTGGCGGTTTGTATGTGATCGGGTTGATTGCCACTTACTTCAGTGCCATGATTTCGAATTTCTCGGTTCGAAGCCGTTCGCGTCGGCTTTTGCCAGGGTGTTTGTCTCTTTTCGGTTTGGTTCGAGGCCCCAAAACAATTTCCATGAGGTCACAAATTGGAGCTGACTCGTATGTGCCCGTTTCGAATGTTTCTTTTTGGTCTGTGTTTACGGTGAAACGAAATGAATTGTGTTCACTCCAGAGACGTTGAAGCGTTGGAGTTGGATCGACGTATTTGATCGGTTTTTGATTTGGCTTGCCTGCTGGCTGAGTCAAACTAAGTAGCTCGACTGCATCGCAATTGTTTCCCAACTCGATCTCAATAGCAGTCACATCTATACCTGACAGGGCCGCAGCACTACTGTCGGTCGCTTGGCTATCGATTCCTAAATCACAAACTGAAAGCTTGGATTTCACTTTGGTCGGACTGGCATTCGTGAGCGGATTCAACTCCGGTAGCTGAATCTTTTCCGAGATCAATGGGCTGGATTTACCAGAGCCAATTTCCCACGTGCTTGTAGAATTTTCGATGCTTGCTTCGGCTGCAGTATCACGGTGTGAACTGTTACTATTTGCTGAATTGGGTGGATTGCAAACACATTCGTTTTGGTCGAGGTATGCTCTCTTTTCTCTTTGGACATTTGGATCCATTTCGATCAATGGTGACAAATCTTTATACGGATTCGAGTCGTGTATTGGGCAAACGTATGTGGGCTTATCGCATGGAATCGTATGGTCTGGTACCAGTGCAACGCTGGTGGCCAAAACATCTCGAGATTGAATTTTGTTCGGGTGTTTGTTGTAAAAGCCTGGGTCGACTCTTAAAGCCACATCGAATGCGCGACAAAAGCTCATGCCTGCGATGAATTGCGGTCTGCTTGCTTTAATCAATAAGGTAGGAATGACTCGACTTTGCTCTCCAAACTCGAAAGTTAAATCAACAATACCTGTGGCCGGTGTCCGCATCGTGTGTACCGTGTTGATGACGATGTTTGTTGGTTTGATTGTTGCGCCGTATAAAGCTAAAATCTCATCCAGGTCTGTATATGCGATTACGCAGACAACTGAGCCTGTGTCTATAAGCCATTCATTTTTACATTGGTTGACCGTCAATTTAGCATACGGTCTAGGATCATTTGGTCTATCAAAGAAGGGAGTTTCATTGATGTATAGTGAATTAATGTTTATTTCTTGAATTTCAGAAAATGCTGGACTGTTTGCGGTGCATTCTCTCTTTTCTTCGGTTTTATTCTCTTAGGGGGTGGCCGGTGCAATGGATGTAATTTGTTGCATGGCCGTGTTGTTTTCCGATGAGCCACTTATTTCGCCGGGGCCTGGCTCGTGGCCGTTGCCGAGGCTGGCGATGCGTTTTTTGACAATTTGACTTGGCAGTCTGTGCAATTTGCAAAGTATACGTTGGCTGCGCCGCAGCCAAAACAGTAAACGTCTCGCTTTGGTCTGTCGCTATCCTTCACCTGTTTGGTCTGGCAATTTTTGCAATTGGCATAGTAAACATCTGGGGCATTGCATCCGAAGCATTGAAATTTTGATTTTTGTCCATTCGATTCCGAAATGCCAACGGATTTCCCTTTGCTTTTGGTTGCACCATCGAAAATTGGTTTGGTTTCCTTTTCCGCCACTGTCTTCAATGGCCGTTTGAATTTTAATCCGGCCAATGATTTCTGAAATGCCGCTGTAATTGCTTGTATGTCGAATGGTATGCTCTCTCCATCCTCTTCGGATGATGACGCTGATTCTTCCCGAGTGACCTCGCATGAAAACACCGATTTCTCCCGGTTTGATCGTTTCTCATGCCGTTCGTGAGTGTGTCGTGGCCTGTCTTGCGATAGGAACGCGACATGTCGGGTAAAATCTGTAATATCTGCGTAGTAGAAGTACGGCTTCGAAGTATTCTGGCGTCCTCTGGTGATGCGCAACTGATGATAGTTGAGATTCGTTGTTGATCATTGAAATGGTGCGGTAATTGATCCATAAGCTGTTGCATAGAATCAACAAAATCCGGAAGTGTTTCATGCTTTTGTTGTCGCCGGCCATAAATAGCTGACATGAGCCCTTCTACACTACCTGCATATGTGGCGAAACGTACTTTTAGGCTTTGAGCCAACTGATTAAAGGTTTGAATTCGACCGTGTGTTGTAGTCCACCATTTAAATGCACGGCCTGAGAAAGCTGGTGCGAGATTTTTGATCATGGTTTGCTCGGAACATATGCCACTTTCCACGCACAATTTGAGACTGCTCAGAAATTCGTCAATGGAAAAATGCTTCGTGTCCACAATTTCTCCTTCGAATGTCTTCGCGCCGAGCCACCGTTTCAATGCTTGCAATACTGAGCCGGCTTGACGAATATATGAATCGCTGAATGTTCGGTTTGCGTTAGCGGGTTGTGCCGAGGAATTGAGCATATCATATTCAGATGGCGTGATTCGTATCGTATTATAGTTGGCCGGAGGACCGTTCATAGTGCTCTGTGGACGCATGGTCGTGGGCTGTGCGTTCGAGCTGGGCACAGACGTGGTAGGTGCTCGAGCGTTAAAGTGTGCCTCTTGTGTTCGAAAAGACCAATCTGTGGGCAGTGATGGAATGTGTACCTGTGAATACGTCGGAATGTGTTCCGGTGGCGTTTGAAATTGCACATTCAATGGATGGCCTCTCGCACAAGGTGGAGTGGGTTGATTCGCAAGCGCATTAAATTGTGGTGACATTCTAAACGATTCAGAAGTCTGTATTTTTTCTGGATTGCGTACAGTGGCTTGCGCTAATGGAATACTTCTATCTGAAGTATTTGAAGTCTGAGTTTCTGCTGAATTTGCTGACGTGTCTGTTGTAATGACCGTGGAGTTCAAGCGATTGGCCGCTGGAATGGCATCGATGAGCTCGTTGACGGCGGCATTGTCTATTCGAGGCTGCTGTACTTTGTTCGCTATTTTGGCGAGGTCGTTAAACAGTTTCCGTGTTGTGACACTGGCCTCGGAGTCATATTGCGTGGTAGGGAACCGTTGCAGTCGGAGACGGTAATGCTCTAATCGCGACAGCAGTGCAGGTGCCGCGAAATCCGGTGCAGCGATTGCACTAAAAAATTGACTGGATTGAGTTCCAATCTTGGCAAGTAGTGCCGCAAAATCGGCCTCGAGCGTTGGAGATTCTTCTGGCACTTTGTATAATTCGACAATATCCTGTCCGTTGGTCTGCTCTTGTTCAAAAGAATATTTCACTTGTGCTTGATACGCTGCCTGGGCTAGACCAGGGAAAAAGACGTTACGAATTTGGCATTCATGTTGAAGTTCTTCCTCTGTGAGGTGCAATGGATCGATTTGCACGTTGGCCCACACATTCTCGGCTGGTTGATCCATTTGTCTGTGATTCGATGGTACGTAGTAATAATCGGAGTGTTATCGATGCTTACGGAAGGCCTGAACGGTGCAAGCAATTGGTTTGTCAAACGTTCGTTGGGCTCCTACGAGAACAAGTACGATTGTCGGAGCGTATCATAAAACAAAAAAAATGAGAAGTTTCTTCCAGAGTCTACGACAATGGGTATGCACAGATAATTGCTAAAAAAATGTGATGGTTAGTCATGAAAAAAAAATATCAATGATCGGACTGTTTTGCATGCATGTGCACTTTTTTCTAATTTCCTATGGCAATTCCTTTTTTCTTGTGTCTATTCGTTTTTTTTTTTCAAAAAAAAAAAATAAAATAAAAAATTAATCTTCTCTCAATTGGACTGAACTATCGATATAGTTGGCAATTTCCTAAATTTCACTATATCCGCCCCTTTGGAAGACTAAAATTGGGATTTAAACGAGTTATCGCGCAGAATTCAATTTCAAACCAACCTTCCTTGATTCTAATACATGTGTCGTACACGTGTTCTATTAACACGCGGTCTGAATTAAAATTTACCGTTTTCAAACCGTTTCGTGGGTTTGTCTGAAAATTCTCTATTGAAAATTGCAACTTCGGGCGCCAATGAACTGTTTTTGATTTGAACTCTCTTATTTTGTTTGGTCTGCGACT